AGATGAGACTCAAGGAAACAGAAAATGGGACATAATTAAGAAGGCTGCAAACACATGCTATCTTTAAGAAGAGGAAAGAAGGATCCCAAGGAAATTCTAAGTTCAATAAGGTTGCCATTACCACCAAGGCTCAAGGAAAGTGTCAGTTCCATTGTGGCTTTTAAGGACCGGATTGCTTCTCTGGTTTTGGAGGTTCAAGTTGCTTACACCCAGTGCCTGAAGAACCAGCCACTGCAGGGAGCAGTAGGGTAGGGTAATGCAGAGAGCAGAAGCAGAGGGCAGTTGGAGTAGGCACAACTTACTATGTTTTGGAGCTGATATTGCCACACCAATGGGCCTAAACTGATCCAAGATTGCCTTGCCAAGTGTTGGACTTGCTTGGCACTTGTTACTTCTTTCTTTCTGCTTTGTGCCTTGTGCACTGGAAATGTCTACACTATGCTTATTCCACCAATATATTTTGAGAACACATAACTTGTTTGATTTCATAGTTCAGAGTTGTTGAGGAATTTTGCCTCAGGATAAATTGTACTTCAAGTATTGTTCATATTTGATTTTATTTATACTTAGATGAGACCTTGGACAATAGACTTTAGAACTGATGATGAAAAGACCTAAGAAGTTTGGGGTTATTGGGATAGAATTAAGGTATTTTCCATAGGAGAAGGAAGGACATGAAATTTAGACAGAGACAAAATATTGTGGAATGTCTGTGGTTACCCAAAATTCATATGTTGAAATAGCCTAAACATGATAGCATTAGAGGAAAGGGCCTTTTAGAAGTAATAAAATCACATCAAGATTACAAAAGAAGATACAGGAGTAATGATTCCTCATTCCACCCTGTTGGGACCAGTGGCCATCTGCAAACTAAGAAAAGTGCCCTACCTAGACATCAGATCTGTCAGCTCCCAGAACTTTCCTGCCTCCAGAAGTGTGAGAAATAAGTCTTCATTGATAAAGTCATCCAAACTCTGACATTCTGCTAAATTAGGCCAAAGAGATTCAAACAGAGATTTCAAGAAGCTTACCGAGTTCTCCTTAGTTGGGAAAAGTGAGATATAAAGCTATCTTCCAAGAGAGAAGAGAGGTCTTGGAGTATGAGACAGCTGGTAAACATTTACAACTAAAGCACAGTGTCCTGAAGAAAGTTAAGAAGGTAAAGAGGTCTCAGCAGTTACTGTAGCATGAGAAGAAAGAGGTGGCAAATAAGGGTGCATCCAGTAGAGAGACTCAGGCCTTAGCTCTGGACATTCCCAACACTATGATGCACAGAGAAGCTGAAAGGCTTAAGTCATTGGGTTTGTGAAATGCAAAAGTGGGATTTTTTTGGCGGGGGTGAACTCAGGTGCTAAGCAAACTCATCATGCATTATATTCAGAATAAAGTACAGAGGCAGAACTTTTTGAAAGCTACATTCCTATTAAAAAACATTCAGGAAAATACTGATATGGAAATTTCATCTCCTACTCCTTTCCTCCTCCTGTGTGTTCTAATGCCCTTGTCTTCTGCCTTTGACTTTCACTTCTTAGTTTTGCTCTTGCTGCTGCCTGTAGGTTCAGGAATTATACTTGACTCACTTCAACACTTTCTAAACACTTTGCCTTCGAATATACTTTTGTTTCTGCTTTTTAATTTTTTTACCTTGAATTTAAATGCCTAATTTGAAAATAGTTCTATGTAGTAGTTCTAAGTGCTATGTAGCAAATTGGTCTCACTTCACTGGGCTCCAGTGGAGGTGGGATTTAACAAAGGGTCAAGGAGATACTTGCTGCCGATTGTTGTTGTGCAGGCTTTGTCACGTTTCTCAGATTGGGGGTGATATTTCAAAGATCAGTTTGGGGGACAAAAAGACATCATGTTGAAGAGCGAGTCTTCTTGCTTCAGTGGTGGGAAGCAATCAGGTAAGGATTGGTTGCTAATCACTTGTAGAACAAGTGGCCTCCTAAGGAGCCTGATGACATGCTCAAGAGCACTGGTTTTGTTGGGATTCCCATCTTTGCTTGGACATTTTTAGTGCTAGACAGAGAAGAATGTTTTCTTCCACTGATTACATTAGTTGAGACAACACCAGAGGCTGCATACTCCACTTGGCATCTAGTCCTATCATCCTGTCTTGTTCCACTTGTCAAACAAGTTTGAAACTGTTACCAGCATCCTGACCAATTCACGCTTCCTTGTATTCCTTGGCCCCAGACATATGGAGAGTTGAAGGCCTGCCATCAAATCTCAAAATTTCATTCCTTCTAAGTCCCTGCAATGCATGTCCCCAGTTGAAAGGAAAAAAAATACTGGATGTATGATCATTCCATCACTGAACTCCCAATTCTCACTCACATTTCATTTTCTGCTTCAGAAATCATTAGGTGCTCTGCTAGGGGTGACCTTTGTGGTCTGACCTGGACTTTTTACTGTGTTATCTTGCTTAACTTTCTCATCCCTTCTCTTTGTTCCCTTTGACATCAATAAGTTATCCCTGTTCTCTTCCCTAGTTTTCTCAACTGCTTTTTCATCCTCTCTACCTCAGCCTATGTCCCTCCTCTGTATGCTCTTCCATTCTTGAAAGCTCCTTACACATCCCATACAGAAATTTTTCCTATGTGGTGCCAGGGAAGAGACAAATAAACTATGTAAGTTTTCTTTTCAAGATTCATAATTACATCTCAAAAAAATATTATTGATTGCCAAACATCATTCCAGGTTCTGTTGACAAAGTGATCAAAAAGACAATTTCTTCTCCTAGAGAAGCTCACAGTTCTATGCAAAACACCAGAGAGATGCAAAAACAAGTAGCTTCAATACAGTGGGTAAATACTACCAAAAAGATATACAGCAAAAGCCTAAGAACATTAATGATAAAACAGTCTAGTTTGTCTGTAGGTAAGAGAAAGCTACAGGCTAAATTTAACAATTGAATAGCTGTTGATTTGTTTCTATATTCTCAAAGAATTTTTTACAAACTGTAGAATGCTAGAGAGATGGATCTTCATTTTTTTATCTATGAAAAAACAGACTCCAAGAAGTTGAATGAAAGTGTCCAAATTCACTGCACATGTTTAAGACAGTGTTGGCATTTTATGTGTTCGTCAGGAAAGTTAAAATAGACAAACTCTCATAAACTCAGTGGCTTAACACAGCAAGGGAAATCCTGCCCTGCACCAGTGCACTAATCACAGACACTGATCTGTGCTGGGTGACCTTCATCCCTCTTGGAGGTATGCTTTTTGGAGCACCTGGCCTCCAAAATTATGCTTGAGCAATGTGAAGGATCACCCAGTCTGGATGTCCAATGTCTTCCAAAGCCCCGTATGTTGAAGAGGGGCGTTACTGGGAGGTGGTGGAATGCTTGCTTTGGGCGTGATCAATATTACAGCCCTCTATAGTGAAAGATGTTATTTTGTCTCAGTTTCCTGATATACACAAACTTTATTGGCCCCGCATGAAAATGTGTAAGAATGCATGAAATTCATTGAGTCCAATCTATCTTTGCTATACTTGATCTCCTCTGGGACTTTGATTGTAGTATGAGTCTTCCTCAGTCCATGCTGGTGGAGTAGAGGCAGACTGCAAAGGGTAAGTATAAGAGAGATGCACGGATGGAAAAATGTGAGATCCTTCACTGGTTGTCACAGTTTCAGCTATTTTCTTAGTGAGGGTGGTATCTATTTTCCACTCTGCTTTACTTACAATGTGACCCTTATGTTCTTCAGGGCATGACCATCATTTTGTACAACAGAATTCAAGAGAATTTTGATAGTGTAGCATAGGACATCATTGTGTTAATCATTTTGTGATTATTACTGCAGAATAAAATGTCTAGCATAGTAAATAATAGCAGTATAGCTGTCTTTGAAGGAAAAGGTCAATATTATACCTGCTTGCTGATAGGAGAGATTAATATACTCTTACTATTATTAATAATAGCAATTAGACTCTATTGCTGTAGCTGATCTTCAGGTCCCATTTATAGGAACAGCCTAATGTTCTTCTTGAGCATGACTTGGCATATTTTAGCACGTCAATTGAAAGCATTGAAAATCAGTGCCAGGATCTTCTTATCTTTTTATTAGCTTTTTGGCACTTGGATTTTTTATTTATATTGCACTGACTTTTCTGTCTCTGAAACAGTTGGGAAGAATTTTTATATAAAAAAAAGACTTTTGCTTAATATCATTTCCAATCAGGGGGCATAAGGATAGATCTTTGCATATTTTGCACCATTTAGCACAGCCATTGCTGCAAATTAAGAGGACAGTCTTACTTGTCAGGACAATTAACACTTGCAGGGAAACACTGTCCTCAGCCACAGGGCGGGGAGGTGGCAGGCTTCAACTGAGATGACTGTACAGAGAAACACTTCCCAGGACAGGGAGCAGAGACAGACATGGAATGGACAGTGGGGGCCACCAAACTGGCTGTTTGGTGACCAGATGATGAAATTCTTCTCTGTTATACTTCTTCTACCAAAATCACCTGTGAGGACAGTGCAAAATGCTTGCAGAAATATAAAAATGTGCCAGGATGATCCTTGTTTAAAAGTTAAACACATGGAAGATAATTTAAGAGTTCCTTCAGTTCAAATGAATTCTCCTCTCTGTTATTTCTTATGCCTTGAATTTTCACGAATATTTCCAATTTTGGATTAAGGCATGAAAGGTTTTTATTAAAATGAACCAATGCTACCTAGCAGGGGTAAACTAGTTACTTTTTATCATTAATGTCTTACTGTGAATAATTAAAACAGGATTTTTTCACTCAGTGAAGCCTTAGGAAATAATCACGGTAATGTTTCAAAATTTGAAATGTATTGCATGCTGGAGTTTACAATGAAAACTGAGTTATTCTGTCATTTGTTGCATATAATATTTTTATAAGATAAGGTAGGTGGAACACGGAGTTACTCTCATTTAACCGAGGAAGCCTGGAAGGCTCTGACTGATGCCTTTCTGATCAAGGACATTCCAAAGGACTGGATTGCAGTAATAGCTGAGTAGTGTGAAGGGAAAGGAGGAAGTGGAGACATCCACGGGAGGACCAGTTCCTGTTGGATCAGAAGGGAGCTGGTGAGTACAGTATGTTAGCAGATTTAGAGGGTGGAGGGAGTTCCCGGTAGAGAGAGAAAGCGAGACCACTAGCAATAGTAGCATTACTAATCTTTTCTTAAGCATCTATTAAGTGTCAAGCTCTAAACTAGACTAATCTATAGTTTCATTTAATCTTCTTTACAATCTTGTAAGATAAATAATGTTCTAAATTTACAAACCAGGAAACAAGAGTTTAGAAAAATTAAAAATCTTCCTCAACTAAAAGTGGCAAAATAGTTCCCTGTTCCTAAGGCCCGCATTCTTTTGGAGCCACTTGTTACAGCTCAAGAAAGCAAACAAAGAAAAGGTCACAGGAGGGCCTTGAAAAACAAATATCCCTTTCTTCATTTCTGTCTCAGGCTTGGCTTCTCTGCCCTTCACCTTTCCATTAACTTTGTAATCCTGCAAAGAAATTTTATCACATTCTGGTCAGAGTAAGGACTTTAAAAAGTTCTCCTTTATACTCTTTTTGTCTTTCAAAGTTTGAGATTCATTATGCTAGACCTTTCACACGTTTATATAGTAACTTTCTCATTGGTAATGTAAACTAATACATAGTGCACTTTTTCTTAACAACAAGACAGTTTTCTTCCCCCTTATTGAAAAATGTGGCCGCCTGTTGTTTCTCTCATACACCAACAATTACTCTCAGTTAGCTTTAGGTGTAATACAGTCTATCAAAATCTTCTGGCTTGACTTTCTCAAGCTGAAGTCATGTAGGGAAAAGAGTGAGTGACAGAATGGAAGGTGGGCAGCTTGACTTTCCCTTGGCGTTTGCTCCCGAAGTTGCTGTAAACCGGAATTACTCCCTTGATTGAAAGATAGCCACCTCTTGGCAGCTGCTTAATAGTATTCATTAATAAAAGATCATCATTTAAGAACCTTCAAGTAATGATAAGCTGATGCATTTAATTGACATAGCAGACAGAAGCTGCTCAAGCTGAGAGGTGTTTTATGAGTTTCATCGCCTTGTTGAACTATCTTGGGTAGGCTGCTTAATTTCTCCATAACTCAGTCTCTCTATCTGTAAAATGGGAATAATAACACTTACCTAGCTCACAAAGGGATTGTCAAAATTAATTAGTCCATATGAAATTCTCTGCAATCCCTGGCTGAGTGGTATCATGTTATGGTAATGGCTAGTGCCCTATTCCGACATTCACCCGTAAGACTCATCCATCAAATACGGTCACAGCTACAGAGCAAGGATTGTGCAACTGCATTCATTGGCAGTGTACCCTGAAGATAAAGTCTGTCATACATAATCTCTCCCCAGAGCGACCTAAGCTAGTTGCAGTATTGATGTAGGCAATCTTCCTGCCAGGATGCACAGAGGCGCTTTAACTAGAGCTAATTATGACCAGCGATAATGCCAGAGGCAGGACCTCACCTTGATGGTGATGGGATGTTCAAAGAAACCATTTCCTAACCACATCATCAGGCAGAATTTTCTGCACCATTGGTGTGGGTAGCATTCTGAAGTATGTCAGGGCATCTCAAGAAAGAGGCTTACAACATTCTTCTAGAAAGGAAGAATACTAGAGAGAATATTTATCCTTGCAAACTGTCCTCTGTTAGGTTCATCATTTACTGCTTTGGACATTTTTATTTTGTGGGGTTTTTTTTTTTCACAGATGTCATGTTCCTAGGGTAGGAATGAAGAGACAAAAATATCTGGCATGTGGTATAGGTGAAATGAAGCCCCATAAGATCTTTTGATCTAAGAATAATAAGACAGACACTAATAAACATAATGCATGGAGTAGAGAAGTGAGGATTTCAGGAAGCTTGGAGTTGATGCTGAGTGTAGGTACTTCGATGTCATGTTTGTTAATAAAAAATCATAAGCTACAAATATTTGTGATATGTCCACCCAAATACCCTTAATTCCATGACAATCACTTTAATGTAAATGATGATGTTTTCACTGGACTATTTTGATAATCTTCAAGCTGGATTCCCTTGTTTTAACCAGGCATGATTGCAATCTATTCAACACACACCAGATTAGTCAGAGTAAGTTAAACTTTTGTTTATGTCTTTAAACATTGAAAGCTAGGCCTTTTTCTATCCCAGGACATTTTCATATATTCTTCCTTTCCCAAATGTCCTCCTTTCCTGATCTAGACCACTCAGTCCATACCACTTGTCAATATAAATGGAAATGCCCTCTCTCTCTCCTTCTCTCCCTCCCTCCCTTGACAATATATTGTTTGTTATTGATCTTCTCCATAGTATTTTCTACAATCTATAATTATCCACCTACCCATTCATTTATTCATTCACTTTTTCATTAATGTATTTTTACTGCTCTGTCTCATAATGAAGGTAAGCTCTTAGAAAGAAAGAATTTGACTTCATTCCTATACTGGCACCAAACAAAACACCTGGCATAAACAAATACTATTTTTAATGTTGTCCAGAAATCGTTACCTTTGTTGAGCACCTAGTCTTTCTCATAGATTATGCTACATACTTTAGACACAAATCTTATTTTCCCATGCAGTAACATTAAGAAGTTGATATTACTTAGCTTTAGTTTTCATACAATTAAATTGAACCTTAAGGATGCTGATATTTGCTGAAGTTCACAGACAGATTTTGAAAAAACAGGATTCCAACACAAGCCTCCCTGGCTCCAATACCTTGGCTGATTTTGGAGCAATACTTTGTCTCCTTATTTTGGAGAAATCTAAATGAAGGAGTCAACTACAACTCCTGATGAACATGGATTGGCTTGAAGGCCTTTTCTTTCAGAAACTGAAATCTAAAAAGAAGCTCCAAATTGCTGAGTATCTTTGTTAGATACCAAGGACTTGGTGAATACAAAGAGTATGCCATGAATTCTCCTCTTAAACAATGAAAAGTTTGAGACTAAACCAGTCTTTTTTTTTCATGTCTTTCTTTGCAAAATTTCCTACCTATTTTCAAAATACTTCTTGCCTGGAGGCATCTCCAACTTTGGGTTCTGATTATTGCTTCCTAGAGAAAGTTTAGGGAGTATGAAAATCATTTCACTTTTAGGTTCACTTGAATTCAATTAAGAACTTGAACATTTAACAATCTATATAATTAAACAGCAAAAATCTGTTTAATTAAAGTATAAAAAGATTGTGTCTGTTTTTGGATCTTTGGCATTTAACATGTGATGTTTTACATGTGAGTTTAGGTACTTTTATAATTAATATAAAGAAGTAGGATAACTTTTAAAAAGTGAGACAAACTTCTAATAGCAATGTGCTCCTTTTCTTGCCAAAATTTACAAAAAGTAACGTATGTGTACATGAGCAAGGTTTTCTACAATTATATGCATATTTTTCCTGAAAGATACAACTTTTTTCCAGGATTATTTTGCTGGAAAGTTTCCATTTGCCTAGAAGGGTAGTAAAGACAAGCTAAAATAAAGGTGTGGATGGACTGAAGTCACCAAATCTTAAACAGAGCAATCAAAACAACCATAAAGACACATCAAAATAAAATTTTAACTATTATGGCATACCTATGGACTGCTGTGAGACAAAAATAACATGTTTTTGTCGCAGAGACAAAGAAATGTTCAGCACAAGAAGTAGCAGGAACTGAAAGTCAAAGCCAGCTCTCTGGCTCTAATGGACCAGTAGTGAAGACAGAAGAGCGATTGGTAACTCACGGTACAGTGGTCCATGCTACAACAGAGATAGACACGAGTTCTGTAGAAATATGGAAAGTAGAGCCTAAATCAATCCTGGAAGGGTCACACCAGACTTCCTAGAGAAAAATTCACCAGGGCTGAGTAACTTCATTGTTACAAAGAGCACCGTGAAGTTTTGAGGATGCCAGTGACATGGAAGTTTGTGAATCTTCTTTTTGTTGGTCAGCCTTGTTTCTTTTGTTTGCAACTGGCTTTCTCCCCTAGAGAGGAAAGGTAGCTGCCTCACCCAGTTTCGAGTTCTTATTTCTTAAGGTGAGAGAGGATTTCTATCGTTCCAGAAACCATTGGAAAATATCTAGTGAAAAATTCTGACGTGCCTTGATTGAATTTCCTTTCTAACCTGTGGCCATTTTGGGTGAGAAATGGTGCTTCCTGATGGGTTTCACTTTGACCCATCCATTGTTCCCAGAATGCTGCATATCTGTGGTGGCAACCCACTTGAAACCTAGAGGAAGAGAAAGAAATATTTACTAAATGACATTGTTGGTGCTTCTAGGTTCTGTCTTCAAACTTACTGGTGATGAAAGGAATGAAGGATCTGTGGATACATTTTAGGTCACATTTGCCTGATTAAAAATCATTGGGAAAAAAGAAATCGTCAAATACTTGGCAGTATTTGCTAAGTTATTTTCTGTGCCAGCCTAGTACCAGGTGATTTTCTTTCACTCTCTCATAAAGATTCTCACTACAACCTCTGGTGATAGGTACTATGTAAGTATGGGGAACAGAGAGGTTAAGTAACTCTTAAAAGATCACATGGATTAGGAAGTCAGAAAGACATGATTTATTTTTAAGGAGCAGTTCCATGTTCCCTCCAATACACTACATGGGATCTTTGGAAAACAATATTTGTAACATAATGCATAATCTTCCAAAGGCCAGAGGTGTGCAAATAGGAGCTTTGTTTTGTTTTCTTTTTTGCTGACTTTATGATAAGATGCTCTTTTTCTTCAAATTTTAATGTGCTATGTCAGGAGAAAATATATAATGAGTGCTCTGGATTTGCTGTCTTTTGAGCTGATTCTGTAAGACCTGTCACATGTCTCTTCCTTGGAGAGGGTAATTAATGGGGTGTATTGTTATTTCCAAATGATATCATCTCTGGCAAAAATTTCCTTTTGAGCACACAGTGTGGGGATGGGAGAGGGAGTCTAAAGGGACTTGTAAATTTCCGCATCAAAATTGAGCAATTTCCCAATAGGATGGTGGAGGAAAACATTAATCATTAAATGGAAAATACCTTTTATCTTCATAGAGAGATTTTCTTATCAAGTTCAAGTGACAATTCCTTTGGAAGAATCTCTGTCCTCAGTTGTGTGGCTGTGGTTGGACAATATGTAAGGTGAGGTGGGGTGTGACACTACACAATGTCTGGATCATTCAGCAAGCAGACAGTAACTGCTCTTTAGGTTGGCTCATTGCACATTTAATCAGTGCTGTGCAAAGTTCCCTAGGAATGACTATTTCCCTTCTCAGGTAAACATTATGCTTAGTTACAGAGGTGAGAGAAATATATAGAGGGGAAAAGGTGTACCTCATTTTATTACCCTTTTGTGTAATAGTGGTAAAAGTTTTGTAGGGAGTATTGTACAGTAAAACAATCATTTGTCAAAGGGTAAACTTACTGAACACCAATGTCTGTTTTTAAAAGATCCCCTGTGTGTCATGAAGTACACAGTGTTCATAAAAAGTTGTACTCGGGGGTTAGATATTCCTGCTTCCTCAATTACTGGACTTTGCTGAAGTCTCCAAGGAAGGAGGATGAAACATTTATTGCCAGGAAGCACTAGGTTACACTTTGTCCCAAGCTTTGACATATTCATTAGACCTGACTCTAAATTTTCAATTACTGAATCCATAAAGACCTAGCAAAAACCCCAAACAAAATAACTACAAAAGCAAAACCAACTATAAAACAGTTAAAAGTCATGAATACAACACAGGCAGAAAAACCGAGAACAAAAATAACCAGGAATTGTGCAGTGCAGTTGAAAACTCTATTTATTTCTGTCATTTTAGTTTGGCCATCATGGTCATTGTGTCCCTTTGAAGAATGATACCTGGAGTTGTACTTTAGTCATCAATTACTCTGATTGATTATTTAGTATCTTATAATCTAAGAAAATAGGAATTGTTATAATTTAAACTTTAGTCTTTAATGGGGAACTGATGCAACTCATGTAGTAGATGAGGAAGAAAGAAGAAATTAAAAATCCCTTGTGATAAATTGGCAGTGATAGAGGATCTCTAGATAACATCAAGAAGGTATCTGCAAAGGAAGGTAAAAAGGCAGTTTGTATGACATGGTCACTCAGAAATTCTCATTTGAAAGGCCAGTACAAGTTATATGTAAGACCAGTAAAAGTAGAATCTTTAAAATACAGACTGCCAGCTTCACCTCTGATTTATGAAGCAATTCAAAGTTGCTGTCTGCAGAGACATCCTGGATCTGCATGCTTAAAACAGAAGTCCTGGAAGCATGCACAGGTAAGAACCAGGAAATGGTGTTTCAATGCATTCTGGCTGTTGTGCCAAAATACCATGAACTGAGTTCTTGGTGTTTTGTTTCTCACAGTTCTGAAAGCTAGGAAGTCCAACATCAAGGTGCTGGTAGGTTGGGGTCTGGAGAAGGCCAACTTTCTGGTTTACAATGGTACCTTTGCTCAGGGTCTTCCCTTAAACAGTAAGGAACAATGAGCCTCTTGGGGGCCTCTTGTGTAAAGCCACTTATTCCACTTATGAGAGAAGAAACCTTGTGACCTAGTTATCTCCCAAACACCTCCATCTCCTAAAGCCATACCTTAGGGTTTGGGATTTCAACATTTGAACTTTGGGCACACAAAAATTCAGATCATAGCAAATGATAATTTTGGTAAACTGAGCCTAAGATACAGACTAGTTTAAGGCTGAAAAATTCCTTGTGCCGTAGTTTCAGGGAGGTTCCACAATTCTACAGATGATATCTCCAGTCATTCCACTGGGTTCTTAAGATGAAGACTCAAGAAAGATACCCCCAAGGCTCTGGCAGGGAAGAGTAAGCATTGGAAAATATACTCAGAACCTTCCATAGCCCTAACCCTAAGGCTTCACCTAGAACTTTCCACATAGCAAAGCCTTCTCTTTAGGGAATGGTTTGCTAGAGCCTTATCCCAGCTGGGAGGTGGAATTCCTCCCACTCCAGTCCTCTTTAGCCTTATGATCTCACTGGAGGGAGGAATTACCATAGCCTATGCAATACTGCAAAGAAACAAACTTGGTACAGTGGCTCTATGAAAGGAGTAGATGGCTGTGAGAGAAAAGTTACAGTGAAGGAGAAACACCTGTGACAGTCACAGCCCTTAGAGGAAGTCCCATTAAATGACTGGAATTTAATTGAAGGCTGTGATATACTCTGTCTCCCTTGTCACTTTGCCAGTGCCTAATCAGGGCTCCAGTCTTCAAGCAATAGGTTGCAGCAGAGCAAGTTACAGATAAAACTCTCTTAGGAAGAACACATGGGAAAAACACAAACAGGGACACTAGGTGGATTTTAGGTGGAGGAATTGGAAGCCTCCAGCATCTGCAGCTAGTGCATGCATTAGAGACAATCCAACCAGACAGAAAAAATGAAATTATCACATTAATAGTCAATTTTCTTCAATTCATATTAGTTGATACAACATGCCTGACTTTGAAATAAAAAGGTCAAGACATGTTAAAAGGCTAAAAACTAACAAAAACAAGAGACAGAGCAAGCATGAGGTCAGATTCAGATAAGACACATATTTTGAAACTGTTTGAATTTAAAATACTTATACCTGACATGTTTAAAGATTCTAATGAAGAAAAAAATCTAGACAGTTATGCAAGAGCAGGTGAGGAATATAGGGAGAGAAATGATTCTCTAAAGAAGATTCAAAAGGAAATGCTTGATATTGCCAGACTGTAAATGGAATAAAGGATGCTTTCTATGGAGTTTATCAGAAGACTGGACAGGTTGAGGGAAGAATTATGGGTCTTGAAGATAGGCCATTAGCAACTTTCCAAACTGAAACACAGCAAGGAAAAAATTAAGGCAGAATAGATATACAAGGACAGTGAGATGATAGGAATTCTGTCCCATTAATTGGCATGGAAGAAAGTAAATAAGTGAAGTAATAATAGCTGAGAATTTTCTAAAACTGATGAAGAATAGAGAACCACATATCCAGCGGGCTCAGAAAACAGGGTAAACATCTCAAAGTACTATGCTTTGACATATCATACTAAAACTACAGAAAAATTTTAAAGATCCAGGAATGGCAGTATACTCCTATAATCTCAGAACACCGGGAGGCTGAGGAGGAAGATCACAAGTTTGGACCCAGTCTGGGCAATTTAGCGAGTTACTGAGACCCTATTTCAAAGTAAAACTAAAAATTAAAAATAAAACAATAGTTAAAAGTGGTTGGGGATGCAGTTTAGTGCAAATATTCTTGGTTTAATCCCAGTATAAGAAAGAGTGAGAGGTGGGGGGGGGG